AAATAAACTCCCCCGACTGACAAGGTCAGCTGGTATGGAGGGTGTGTCTATGCATTATTGATAAATAATAAAATTCAGCCAGGAAATTCAGCCTCGGCCTATTTCTAATCCACCAAAACTAAACTCACATCCAGAGAAGCTCATGCCCCAAGATTTTAACAACAATTACAACAGCATCCTGCATTCATATAGTGCCCCTCATGGAGGGTAGTTTCCCAGAGTGCTTTTTCATTCGTTGAACGCCCTCAAGAAACAGTTTTGAAAGTAGCAAACTGTAAATAATAATTATTGTTAATCATTACAAATTAGAAATGTATAGATAACATGGGAAAAAGGCGATGGTATGTCATTATTCTGCTGGCTAGCTGTCAGCATGTCCCAGTTGGTAGAACTCTAGCCTCTGAGTCAGAAGGTTGTGGGCTCAAGGCTCACATTGGGACTTTGAATTCAGTCTAGGCTGACGCTCCAATACAGTGCTAGGAGAGTGCTGCAGTATTGAAGGTGCCGTCGGTTGAGACATTAAACTGAGGGCATGTCGGCCAGTTCAGGTGGGTGTTAAATATCTCATAGCACTATTTGAAAAGAGAAGGGAATTTCTCTGCATAAATTGTGCTGCATAAATTGGCTGCCACATTCGCCTACAAAACACAGCCAGTAAACTCCGCATTACATCCTATGAAGTGCTTTGAGATGTCCTCCAGATGTGAAAAGAATAAATGTAAGGATTATTCTTTTGATGCTTTATTTATTATTTACCTTCCTATCCTTTGGAACACGTTTTAAACAATCCTCCATTATTTCTGATTAAATCATTTCCGTTCCACATTTCATTTATCTCCATAAATCCCCTCCCTTACCATGTCCTACTTCCCACCATAAAATAATCAGTCAAGTCACATTACAGTGTATTCTGTGAAATGCTTTGGGACGTCTCGAAGACACAGTAAGGCGCAATATCAAATGCAAGAATTATTATTACTTGACAAAATTGACTTCTAATTGCATGAGTCTATTTTCTAGGAGGTTTGGGCTATGTTATAAAACCGAAATTAACCTCGCTCAAAATTGTTCAGTGTTCAGTGTAAAATATCTGGACTTCCACAAACCCGTGAGTAAAAAAAATGAGCAGTTTTATAACAGCAAGTTTCATATTGCAATGACAGTATAACAAACCCACGGCAATGATCACTTGCTCTGTCGGACAGGTCCACTGGCTGCAATACACAAGATTGTTAATTGCTCCTGTGCAGAATGCCTCAACTCATGATGGCACCACACTGGCTCAGATAAGGTGGCTGAGAATTATTATTAGCGAATGCAACATCCATTAGGAATTCAAAGACACCCTTGCAATCCTTACTTGGGTGAAAGCAGCAAGCATTCTACACTGTCAAATACCAAGGTCAAATACTAGAGGATAAAAAGATACTTGAGATCAAATTGACATAAAATTGTCATAAGTTCTAAGCGAATGTGTTGAGCAATGGGGTACTTGGAGGAACATTTTCTAAAAAAGCTGATGCATTTTTTTTAAAAAGATAACTCACAGATAATCAATACACTCAAGAGAAAAAAAAAAACATCTTCAAACATATAATACAAAACGCATCGAAAGAACAAATAATAAATAGTTCAGCCGTGAAAGCATAAGGAGAATAATAAACAATTGGTTTTAAGGCAGCAAAAGTGGGAAAAATTATCTTTTTTTTGCACAATAAACTGAAGAGATCACAAAATCAAAACAATTTGAGGTTTCAATTTCCCTCTTCACTGTGCAAGTTATTTTTTGGGGGGAAAAGGACACTTACCAAACTCGGGAGACTGAAAAAGTTGAAGGCAGTGGGGAAGATCAGCCTTCTCAAGGCAGCAGAGCCCGACTGATAACAACAAAAATAAGACTCTCTCTCTCGCTCTGAAGGAATCTTGGGTCACTCAATGCACCCTTTTATGGCCAGCCCTGGTGTTATATATAGAATCACAGGAGTTGTGATATTACAATATATGGTTTTCATACTATAAAGTTTGGGAAGTTTTTTTGTTTTAGGGTAAGTCAAACTTTGAACTGTGTTCCCACCAATATCCTTGGATTAGATTCCAAGAGCTCAGTCTTTTATCTGTAAACCGATCTGTCCCCGGTGTGTGATTAAAGCCTGCTTACATTTCCCAATTACTTTGAGGAGCTTGTAAGGCTGAGGGAGGGATAAGATCTTTCATTTGATCAGAGTTAAGAATATCACTAATGGAACATGATTCTCCCACAATGGGAACACTGATCAGTCCAGGTTATTGCAGTACTACAGAATTCAAATCTTAGGCAAGATCTTTATCTCTCACTAACTTCTACTTTTACCCCCATCTTCCCTGTACCAATAGGTGGTGAATTTGCAGTCGATATCTCAGTCCAAAGTTCTTTCTTTCTTCAAGCTCACTTTTGCAAATGTTTCTATGTCTTGAGAATGACATACAACATTTGCAAAGATGTCGCTGTTTAAGTGCTGTGACCAACCCTTGATATTATCCGGCAGTAAATAAATCACTAGCGTGTTCTTTGCCTCTTTAGGATGCTAAAGAAAATTAAGTGGAAAGATTTCTGCTGACGTTGTGGTTGTTATAAAAAGTAACTGGTAACTATCTGATCATCTTACATTGGGCTATTTGGTTTCAGAAAGGAGGTGGAGACAGCAGGAAACTTGTGTGCATTTCATTCTGAAACACTGGGAAGGGTGACGACAAGCCATGTTCACCTGCAACCTGGGAACATTGATAGCGACCCCTAGTGTTTTGAGAAAATACAAAGAAAAATTGGAAGTACAGTACTGAATTGGATAATTGAGTTGTGGAAATACCACTCATAATAAAAATAATCCTTATATTTGTTATATTGGGATATTGTTATCTAGGGCCTTGGGATGTCCTCCCGACATGAAAGGCGCTATACAGTGTAATGTTTTCTTGTTGTTAGTGCCTTTCGCATCAGAAGGATACCTCAAAGCGCTTCACAGAATATGTAAATTCTTCCACAATTCTGCCAATCTTAAATTTTTAGACAAAATGATCTTACAGTTAAATTAAGTGGAATTTCGAAACTCCAGATGTTGAAAATAGGGTCCAACCTCAGTGTGATCAGACTTGGACTGAGTACTAATATAAAGTATGATTATATTTTTTTCAGCGCCTTGGGATGTCCTCCCGACGTAAAAGGCGCAATACAAATGTAATTTGTTGTTGTTATATGCAGCAGCCCCGACACAGAAATGATAACATGGGTTGGGGGTTGGCTGGGGAGTGGTGTTCACAGTCACAGGGGCTGAACAGCCAGGACTCAGCATGGAAGAGTGGAATCTGAGGTGGGGGCAAATAATAACAATAATAATAATAATAATCCTTGTGTTTGATATAGCACCTTATCACATTGTTGAGACGTCTCAAAACAATTCACGGGATATTCTGTAAAATGGATTGACTGTGTATTTTGTAGGTGAAACAGCCATGAAGAGGGTTTGTTGGCCAGGACACAAGCAGAAACTATCTTATCTTTTCGAACAGTGCCATGGGATCTTAAATGTCCACCTGAGCAGGCAAATGGGACCTTGGTTAAATGCCTAATCCGAAATACAGCATCTCCGCAATCCAGCAGCACCTCATTGAAGTGTCAGCTACGTGATTCCAAGTCTCGAGGTGGGGTATTGAACCCAAAACATTCTGACTTAGAGGTGAGAGTGCTATGACTGAACCAAGCTGACACACAATCTTGGGTTGGTACCAAGGCTGTCCTGGAAGAACAAGTCATCCAATTCCAACCCATTTTACAATGAATATGTAGGTTACATATCCAGTTTACACACTCAAACCATGATGTATTTTGCTGTGACCAGCACTGCATTATAAAATAGCCAAAATGGGATTCTGAAAGAAAGTGGCAGCTCTCACTTTCAAACATGGGAAAGAGCAATGGAGACTGTCTAAGAAGGAGCTTGTGGTGACGTGATCACTGATAGTCTAATGATTATGGAATGTGCAAGGCATTCACTATTGAGGTAGTTTCTAGAGGGTCAGGTGAGGGACATTCACTTATAATAATAATAATTTTTGCATTTGAGATAGTGCCTTATATAAGCGCTCTGAGATGCTTTCCTGCGTGGAGGATGCTATATAAGTGCAACTTGTTGTTTTTGTTATCACATTATTCAGTCTCAAAGTGCTTCACAGAATATACTGTAAAGGGAATTGACTGTATATTTTGTGGGCAAAAAGCGCCAACCAATTGTGCAACAATTTGCATTGATATAGCGCCCTTCATGCGGAGTAGCGTACTGGAGTGCTTACATACATTATATGTGAGTTTGAAGTCCTGGCTAGTTCAAGAGAGCTAATTGCACTATATTTTATAAGTGAATACAGCAGCCAATTTGAGCATAGCTCTATCCCACAAGAACTGTAAAGTGAACGATCGATTTTATCTGGACAAAAGGACACCAGGAAAAACTCCTTCCTGAAGAGTACCATGGAATCTTTAACATGCACCTAAGTGGGTGGATGAGACCTCAGTTCAGCATCTCATCTGAAGGGCAGCACCTTCAACAATGCAGCGCTCCCCAGCACTGTATTAGAGTGTCAGCCTATTTGAGGTTTGAGCCCACAACCTTCTGACTCAAAGACAAGAGTGCAAGCAACAGAGCCAGGCTGGCACATGATGTTCAGGAACAGAAAAGACTGTTGTTCTTCTGGCTAGTTCCAAAGTAAATTTTGCCCACGTTTCATCCACAAAATATACCATCAGTTCACTTCACAGTATATTCCGTGAAGCACTTTGAGACAACAATGTGATAAGGCACTGTATTAAATGCAAGGTTTATTTTTATTATTAAATTATTTTTTAAACTATTACAAAAGTTCAACCAGGAGCCCAAAAGCAATGTTGATACAACAGAAGCATAAAAAAAACCACAGAATGAGTGAAAAAGAAAGCATTTAAATCTGGTTAAAGATAAAAGACATACCTGGGATTAGGCCGAGAAATGTGGGATATAGCTAAGATCTGAAGTCGTTAAAGCTCAATGTTCAGACCAGCAGTCTGCACAGCACACTGGAAGAAAATAATTTATTTACTGCTCTTGTAGGAGTATGCATTGAGATTGGAATGAGCTGTGCAGGAGGCTTAATATAGAAAGGTCAGAGTGGGAGGGAAACTTTGAAGTGCTGAGCTACAGAAAGTTCAGGATCATGTTTGTGAACGGAATGAAGATGTTCGCAAAATGTATCTGATGTACTGATGTACGAACAGTGCCACCAACACTGTCAGCGTTGTACTTTACAGATCACATCTGAAAGATCTTCAAGATGTTGTTACAATAACACTGATTAGTGTTAGTTCACACTCTCAGATGAGGTGGGGGTTAATCCCAAGTCTTAGAATCATAGAATCATAGAATTATACAGCATAGAAGGAGGCCTTTTGGCTCATTGTGTCTGCTATCCAATTCAATCCCACTCCCATCCTGCAAACTTATCCTCCCAAATAATTATCAACTTTTCTCTTAAAAGTTGTTATTGAATCGGCTTCCACCACCGTTTCAGGCAATGCATTCTAGAACCGAACAACTCGCTGTGTGAAAAAAATTCTCCTCTGTTCTTTCTATATTCTATTTGATTATCTTCTGTATTTTGGACCTGACATTTATCATAAGCCTCTTTTTTCTGTTTTATTTTATTCTGTCTTGGAGGAGACAAGGCATCCAGTTCCACTTTACACTGAATGTGCAGGTTACATATCCAGTTTAAATCCTCATGTATTTTGCTGTGACTAGCACTGCGTTATAACATAGCCAAAATGGGACTCAGAAAGAGAGTGGCAGCTCTTACTTTCAAAAAGGGAAATCATGAGTTCACATTCTACATTGGGATTAAGTTCATCTTCTAGCCCGAGACTCCAATGCAGCACCAAGACATGCCCTTTGGATGAAATGTTAGGCTGAGTTTCCGCCTTATAGTGTGGGTGATATAGTTCTGAGTTTACTTTTTTAATCTCCTTTAAAAATGTATACATCTCTACAAGGTTCACTCTGAGACATCTCTTTTCAAGGTTGAGGAACTCCAATTTGTCTAATCATTGTTCATAGATCATTCCTCTAACACTGGGAATTATTCTTGTTGCTCTTCTCAGTATCTATGGGATCTGGACAATGGCATTAGGTCATGATGACCAAAACTGTATGCAATACTGCAAGTGTAGCCTAACCAGACCACTGTACAACTTGATGACTGTATAAATTCAAAGTAACTCATTCTGCAAAGATCTTTGAAATGTTTTAACAAAACAGAGTCCTATATGTGTTTCAGCCTGGCTCAGTGATAGCACTCTCGCCTATATATAAATTATACATTATAAAATAGATATTGCTCATTTATCATTCTACCAGATGCTGCAGGACCTTTACGGACCCTGGTTGAAGGAAAAGCACTGGTGGGCGGATGCAGTACCATCTGTTGGAGGTACAGGAATACAGAAATCCCAATACTGTTAAAAGCTTTGGTTTTTCTAGATACAGGTAATGTGATAAAGTTTGTGATATTTAGAATTACGCTGGCATAAGGACCACCAGATGGCAGTGCTTCCTTGCCAGGTAGTGGTTTATAATGATAATTTAATCCTTGCATTTGATACAGCGCCTCGTCACTTCCTCTTTCTTTCTGATCTTTCTTTCTGATCTACATGCTCCCTCTTGGGGATGTCATCCGTAGACATGGGATACATTTCCACATGTATGTAGATGACACCCAACTCTATTTTTCCACCTCTCTTTGTGATCCCCAGTACCCTGATGTTCTGTCAGCTGCCTGTCAGAGCTCAGGGGCTGGATGAGTGCAAACTTCCTTCAACTGAACGTTGACAAGACAGAAGCCATACTCCTTGGCTCTTCTCAACATCTAAAATCTCACGGCTCTCACCTCCTCCAACTACCCGACCTCCCCCTAAAACTCTCCGAACCCGTACGCAACCTAGGTGTCAGGTTCGACCCCCAATTATCCTTCCTCCCCCACATCCGGTCCCTCACCAGCACCGCCCTCTACCTCCTCAGACGTATCGCCCGTCTCCGCCAATACCTCTCCCCAAAAGCCGCTGAAACCCTGGTCCATGCCTTTGTCACTTTTCGGCTGGACTACTCCAACGCCCTCCTCGCCGGTCTACCATCCATAAAATCCAAATCATTCAAAACTCTGCCGCCCGCATTCTCACCCGCACCAAACTCCGCTCCCCGATCACCCCGGTCCTTGTCAGACTGCACTGGCTGCCTATCCCAGAGAGGATCAATTTCAAGATCCTCACCCTCGTATTCAAGTCCCTGCACTCCTCTGCACCCCACTACCTCTCTGACCTCCTCTCTCCTCAAAACAGTACCCGTTGCCTTCGTTCCTCCAGGTCTGGCCTCCTCCTCGTCCCCCCTAACTCCTCTGCTCCACCCTCGGCGGCCGTACCTTCAGCCACTATGCCCCGAGGCTCTGGAACTGCCTTCCTCACTCCCTTTGCCTCGCTCCCTCCCTTCCCATTTTCAGGTCTCTGCTGAAGACCTTTCTTTTCGACCGCGCCTTTGGTCAGCTTCCTCCCCCTCGCTCAGTCCCGGGATCCGTTACTGTGAAGTGCTCTGAGACGCCGTCCGGCGTGGAGGGCGCTATATAAATCCAAGTTGTTGTTGTTATTCGTTGAAATATTTAAAAGCACATCACAGGAGCAATATGCTACAAAGATGTTATGTGTGATTGAGAAAGTAAACCCAGAAAGAATACTTTCCAAGATAAAAGAATAAGCTTATTGTTGCAAAGGGCAATGTCAGACCAGACACACTATTCTTAACGTAGACCATAGTTAATTACTAGAAACGGTTACTAGGAAGACAAGTTGAGACCAGGAACCTGGACAAATGCCCAGTTCGTTTACATGGATTTGGCTTAGTGTTTGTTTAGCATCTTATCCATTATGAGAAATGAACTTTTATCAGTGTTAGCTGTAAATCTGTTTCCTGCCGGCAATATTTGCGAGCTTCCAAAGTGGATTGGTGATGTAACGGAAAACATTCTTTATTATCTCGCAACAGGAAACGATCATAAAAGTTATTTGTTAAACCCAGACAATCTCACTGTGCCATCTGATAAGGAACTTCTACATCAGAAGATGTGGGCCTCTTAATATAGAAGGGAACTGTATAACTATAGTTCACCAGTATATGTGACCAGGAATCAAAGTGAGGGAATTCAAACTAACTGGTTGCAAGTGTCAGTAATTCACATGTTGTGGAGTCTGCCACAGTTAGGTTTACGGACATAATGTCTTTGATAACAAGAGTTTAGGAATTTGGATGAGGGTAACTGAAGGTAAATATGTTGGAATTTGAAGCAACATGATGATTTTTAATGTTACCTTATTTCAATAGGGACAATAGAGCTATTCTAATTTGCTATACTATTTTGAATTGAATAGCAAATTAACATTGACTGGGTTCCAATTTTGCCAACGTGCAGACAATCTCCTCTGTCAGTAGAATTTACATCAGATATGCAAATGATATACAATACAAAATTACACTTGTATAGTGCCTTTCACTTCCGGAGGACGTCCCAAGGCGTTGGACAGTCAGGAAATTGGACCCGAGCTGGGGGATATGTAATCGCGGGGAACTTAGTTAAAGTCTTCAAAGAGAATCTTTGTGTGACTGGCATTAAATGTTGTAAAAACATGATGGCAAGCTCGGGAAAGGACATTCAGCTGGCTTTATTTGACAAAAGATGTTTGTCAGAGGCAAATCTTCAGTCTAATTGTTGGGGAAACATGAATGTCATGCAAGTTATTCGAGGATGAAAGCTCTAGCAAGGAGCAAAACAAAGGCTTGTGTGTATTTAACAAGCCAGCGTGCCTTTGCTGGACTCCTACGATAATGGACTGCTACTCTGACTTGCTTTTGGTTGGTTGTGCTGCTAACTGGCAGTCTGCTGCCATGATACATAATAACATAATAATAATCCTAGTATTTGATATATGTCATTGAGACATCTCAAAGCACTCCACAGTATTTTACTTTAAAATAAGGTATGTAATTTTGTTCACCTGAAATGGAATCCACTCTTTCCCTGGAGGGAACACACCCAGGTTACCTGAAGCAATAGGTCTAGTTTGGCAATATCCAAGGCTTGGGGATCCCAAAGTGTGCTCTGTGGTACTGCTAGAGTTTAACCAGCTGTAGCCACATAGCTTACCACTGTAAACACTGGTTCTCACTGCTTGTCTTAGTAGGACAACCTAATCCATTAGGGCTTAGGTTTACAGGGTTAACAAAAGCTGAGTGGGAGAATTCTCTATCCCAGTGACTGGTCTGCTCTTCTATATCCTGTGGACGAGCCAGACTGGCTGGTCTGTCATCAGCAGTGTCTTATTCCGCTTGGATTAGAGACCCAGCTGGTTTGGGAATCAGACTTTCACAACCACCAGAGTATCAGTTAAATTTCAATATTGAGGTATGTCACATTGGAGCCAACTCAGCCTCAAAGAGGCCACATTTACCTCTCCCCCACCCTCAGGAGGATTGTTGCTAGTTGGTTATAACCTATCAAGCATCTAACAAGCACAGGTTTCAAATTGCTCTGAAACCTATTCCTTCAGGTTGTGTCAGGAGTGGAACTCTAACACAATAAATCTCCATTTATATTCCACACATGGCACCAATTCACCAATAGGTTTGCCTAGGAATTTGGCCTTAAACAGAATAAATAACATTTATCCATTAATTGAGAATCTTGACAGCTTGAGTGACACAAAATACAACCAGGTAATTCAGGGCAATTTTCTTTGTCTGAGGGTAATGTAGAATTTAAATTTCTTGACATATCTTGGGTCACGGCATAAGATAAGGCCTTTATAATGGTCTGAAATCTGCCTAGTTTTGTATCCAGTAAGTCTTGTATTATAAAGTAAAGTTGTGGATTCTGCTCAATTTCATTTTTGAATGTTGCTCCTTTTTAAGTCTTGTGGAAAACCGGCTTCCAAATGAAGACTGATTTATTGCTCAATTCTGTGTGAAGTTGAATTTTGAAGCAAAGTGGGTGGAATTTCAGGCCTTAGTTGTGTACATTTGATTTCTTTGAAAATGCTGTGCAA